AAATTCTCTCTTGATTGGGTATAACTTGTTCTGTATTGTTGTAGAACTCTGTTTAGGATTATTATATGAGGGTTGTTGTTGTCTTTTTAAAAAAGAAACCCTCCCTTAATTTTGATATTTAAGGGGAAAAAATGAGCCTCAGATCAGGGCATAGAGTAGTTTATTGCCTGTGATATTGAAACCTTATTTATACTTGTTTTCCTTTCTTTTTCCTTAAAAATACTATTTCTTCTAGAGCAAGATTTTCCTCTTTTTTGTAGTTATGATGTTCACCTCTTGAGAAGTATAATCATAGTAGTCTTATTAATTTGATAGATTTTTAAGATTGTGCTCTTGGAAGAGATAGTGATGAGAGATTGCTGGTGATGATGAGCCAGATTGAAGCCAGAGGGTTAATTAGTGCTACCAGACAGACTGTATTATGTGGAGCACTTCCATCTTCAACTTGAGAAAGAATTGCCCTCTGCCATGATTACAACAGGATTTGAGTTCATCTTTTTTTCCTTGCCATGTCTTTCTCCCTAAAATCGGCTAATAGAATTTCTTTGCATGTAAAATACCTTTGGTACTAAAGTCTTCCAATTTAAGTTTTTTTTTTCTTTCTGGAAAGCACACTGAAGATTGTTTCCAGATATTTTGCATGAGCAAATGTAGATTTTTCTAGCAACAGGATGCCTATCTAAAATTCCTGAGTAGATTTTAAAAAAATCAATGAAATTTCATTTTCCCCATGAAAATATTTGTTTTGGAAAATGCATGTTGTTGCACAGCAAGTGGGTAAAGCTCAGACCTGAGTTCTCATGCAGCACTTCCTTTCTGGGAGTGATCCAGGGCTGATTTGCTGTGGCCCTGCTGCTTCCCTAAAACAGCCCTAATGAGTTGAGTGCTGTCATAACTAAGCTTTATTACTAATAAAACAAGGATCTTTATAAAACACTAGGGGCCTAGTGCACAAATTCATGCACCTTGAAAGGAACTGTGGGCTGCGAGGCTGCAGTAGGCACAGGGGTGGGTCTCGGCCTATCCTCCGCACCACAGCCCAGCCCCTCCCACAGTGGCCCCTGGTCCCCTGTCTGCCAGAAGCTCCGCTCCCACCGCCGCTGCTCTCATGCACTAATGGTGCGGGCCCTGCTCGCACCCGCTGATGGCACAGAGCAATTGGGGCCAGTGCCAGCAATGGGTGCGAGCGGGGCCTGTGCCATCAGGGTGTGTGAGCGGCGGCTGCTGCCCCAATTGCCCCTTAGGAGCAGGGGGAGGTGGAGAAGCCCTCAGGGCAATCAGGGCCTGCAGCCGCTGCTCGCACCTGCTGATGGCACTGAGTGATCGGGACTGGCTCCTGGCACTGGCAGTGGGTGCGAACGGGGCTGGCGCTGGCAGCGGGTGCAAGTGGGGCTGGCACCGGCAGTAGGTGCGAGTGCTGGGCAGGACCACGGCGCAGGAGCAAAGAATTTTCATTAACCACCAGAAGCTCACCCCAATGACAGCAACCGGCATCCCACCTTGGTCTTGCACCCCCCACTCACCTGCTCCACCATCCTGCTGTGGCCAACACCCGCCATGTTCCGCACACGCCCCCTGGTGGTCAGCACACGTCATAGTGACTGGTTGTTTGGTTGTTCGGTTGTTCCACCGTTCGGTCTATTCGCATATTAGCCTTTTATTATATAGGATTTACTTTTAGAAATATAAGTAAGTTAGAGAGAATTAATGTTATACCTATAATACCATCATTCAGTTTCTTCCTTTCAAGATGGAAAGGGAAAAAGGAGTATTTAAACTCAACCCCACCTTTTAACCATCTGATGCTGCCTGACTTGAATGACCTCCTTTGGATGTACCAGCAATAGTTGTGATACTTGTCACACTGTGTTTTTCTCACTGTGACCTCATCCCCAAAGTTTTGTTTGTCAAAATTAGAGCACCAGAGTGGTTTTTCATGAGAATATCATCTCCCTGCACCTCAAAACAAACAAAACACAAACAAATAATAGTCATTGCTTTGAAAGTGCTGTTAGAGTTTAATTAAGCAAACTCTAGCTAATTACCTTCCGTAATGACGGAGCTTTTGCTAACACTTCACATTTGGTGGCTTTCTCTAGAAAAGACCTTGAAAGACACCATAGAGTTGAGAATGCATAGGGGTGGGGTGGGGTGTTTTTACCCCATTACATTGCTGAGGTTTAGAGAGAACACTTGGCTACTTGGCTGCTAGGCTGTCAGCTGCCTCATTGTTTGATATTGTCCCTGCCTTTCCTTTCAGCCCACTTAGGAAAGAGAGAAAGCCTGTAGCCTCGCTTGCTAAGCTTTGTAATCTGCCGCAAGTGATGAAAGTCCTGATTAACGGTGTGTCAGACTCCCTTTCTCAGACAAGGTGGGGGTCCCCATTAAAGATCGGAAATGAACTCCAGACTTGACATGGATGAGGGAGGTAGCATAACCCTGGCTTAGCAAATTGAGCACAATTGGGATACTATTAAAAACAACAACTACAACAACAACAAAGCTTCAAGCCAGAGTGCCTGGAAAAAAAAAAAGAAAGAAAGAAAAACGCCTTACATAACTCACTGCAGCAGGTTTGGGTTTCCTCTGGTTCAAGTTTTCTTGCCTCTTTGATAATCAAATGATCTGAAGAAAGGCATAAAGTTTCAAGGGAGAAGCTGTATGACAGGCTCACAATAGAGCCATTCACAAGGGCTCTTTTATTAACTTACACAGTATCACCATCATTCTTAGTCTCTGGCTTTACTACAAGGCTCCATTTAAACTTAACCCAACTTGCAGACATAACTGATCCAGGAATTACTCAATACAACCAGCCAGATACTGTAGCCTTTTTTCCCATTTGATAAAGGGATTTAACACAATGGGCTTTACAGTTCTTAAATGACTCCATTTTCCCCGTCTTTCCGATGTGGTGCTGGTATGACCTTTTGTTCTCAAAAAAATTTCACATGGTTTGATTATATTTTTTAAAAGTATAAACAAACACAATATTCATGCCCTACCTTTCAAGTTAAATTTTAAAATTTTGCGATGATACAGAAATGGAATTCATGTTACAATATTTACACAGCTGATTTCAAAACATTAGATATTATTGTTAACTATTAGATATTAAATTAGGCCTGAAAATATGTTCTTTATTTTTGAGGAAGGTTTTGATACAATACCTAGTAGTACTTCAGCATTGCACTTCCACTTTTGCACACTTCTGGTTGTCTGCTGGTTTTTATGCTACTACTTCTATTACAGTGCTACTACACGAATCAGGGCACACTTGGTTAGTCTCTGCATGGAGAAGAGAGGACAGAGCCCCGAGGATATATTTGGTAGCATACCACACTTTGGATCCATACTTCAGAATAGTGGCTCTCAGACTTTATTAGGAACAAAAATCAACAGAATGTTTGATTAAAATGCAGATGCCTGGGTCCCACTCCCATAGACTGATTCAGTAGGTCTGGCGGGAGCCCGAGAATGTGCATTTTAATGAGCACCGCATTGATTCTGATGCTGATACTGAGAACTACGATCCTAAACTCACCAGAGGATGTTGGGAATAGTGATATTCCTCCTGTCGGGCCTGTTGCCTCCAGGTACTCAGGGACCACCTTGGATGAAGTGGCCCCTGGTGTGATTTCCCAGAGCTGTTGGTGGCAGGCAGAGAAAGATGCCTCTAGTACTTCCAGGGTTGAAGCAGCGAGCAATCTTTTCCTGTTCTGCTTGCTTCTGAGGCAGGGATCCACTATAGGCACCCCATTCCAGGAACACGCCTCACTGGGGGCTGGTTCTGGGTATTTGACAGTGTCATCTCACTTCTACCCCATCTTTGCATGATGAGAATTTCAGCATGGTTGTTATCTGCAGTATTTAATCCCAATTTACATCTCCTCTTCAACCCCTATTCAAGAAATTTTAGTTTTTAGAAACAAAGTTATATTTCCAAAGGATTTCCAATGATCCGTGGGTGCTTAAAAGCCTTCAGAGAATTATGGATGTAACACACTTGTTCATTTCATGAAGATGACAGATCGGGGAAAATGTGGTGATGACACCACTAATGTTCACAGCACTTTGCCTGAGATACTGCTGAGTGTGTTCTGCTTGTAGACTCTCCCTTCCCATGTGGTTGGAGGACTTTTTTATTATGAGAACTTTAATTTTTTAAATTTATTTTTCAATTACAGTTGGCATACAGTATTATATTAGTTTCAGGTGCACAACATAGTGATTAGACATTTATATAATTTACGTGGTGATCCCCCCAATAATCTAGTACCCATCTGGCACCATACATAGTTATTATAATATTATTAACTGTATTCCTAATGCTATACTTTACATCTCCATGACTAATCTGTAACTACCAATTTGTACTTCTTAATCCCTTCATCTTTTTACCCAGCCCCCCAACCACCCTTCCATCTGGCAACCATCAGTTTGTTCTCTGTATCTATGAGTCTGTTTTGATTGTTTATTTATTTTGGTTATTACATTCCACATATAATTGAAATCATATGGTATTTGTCTTTTTCTGTCTGATTGCTTTCACTTAGCTTAATACCCTTATGTCCTTCTGTGTTGTCACAAATGGCAAGATTTCATTCTTTTTTATTGTTGCATAATATTCCATGGTATATATGTATTATATCTTCTTTATCATTTATCAATGGTCACCTAGGTTACTTCCATATCTTTGCTATCATAAATAATGTTTCAACATATATCTTTTTTAATTCGTATTTTATATTTCTTTGGATAAATAGCCAGACATGGAATTGGTGGGTTACAAAACTAGAGAATATAGCTTCCTGGTAGGCATCACCCAGTTTCCAGAGTTATCAAGATTTATCATATTGTTGGGTAGCTTTTTGTTTTTTCTTAAATGTTGCTTGTGGTTTTCTAATTGGTTCCGTTTTGGAATGAATAGAACTTGAGATGTTTTGCTCAGGGCCTGAGTGCAGTGGTCATGAGTAGTGATTTGCTTATGTGCTCCTCAGGAATGTGTTCCAGAAGACCTGGAACTGAAGAAGAAGGTTTTTGCTCAGTTAGATGGAATCATCGGTGACGACGTTGTCCTCAGCAGCTCCACCTCATGCCTCTTGCCTTCCCAGCTGTTTGCTGGGTTAGTGCATGTGAAGCAGTGCATTGTGGCTCATCCTGTGAGTATGTCAAACCTGGATGTTGATCACATCTCCTTCTGGTTTTGGGGAGTATTACATTTTGTTTAATCCACTCGTATTTTTTAATTGCTTTGTTGACATGTAATTCACATACCACACAATTCAAATTGTACAATTTAATGGTTTTTAGCATATATAGAAAGTTGTGCAAGACCAGCATTTTCTAAAAGAATTTTATCCAAAAATTTTTTGGATTGTATCTATGTACCTAGTGCATAGTGGGACAGAACAAGCAATCCTTACAGACTTTCACCCTCAAGTAACTCACTGTCCAACCAAGGAGAGAGAATACTAAACTAATAATTCTCCTACTGAAGAAAAAGTCTAATTAAAATAATGTGTACACTGAGTAGGATTTTATAGATCTGTCACTTGTACTGTGTGGGATAAGTTTTGCTAAAATGCAGATTTTTGAGTCTCACTTGAGATTTCAGTTCAGTACGAACCTCTCCTTCTCGGTGGTCCCGTCCACCCATCTGTTGTAATTACCTGGGCAAACTTACTCACTAGGAGTACAGTAGGAGGCTAGTAGACAATGGGTTTAAAGTTGGCATCAGGCACTCAATGCGTCTTCTTGAGATTAATGTGTTAGTGTGAGGATCAGAGAGAGGAGTCACGGATCACTTGGTGGATGTTCGAGTCCCAACTGTGAGCTCAGCATGACCTTGGAGAACCCGGATGATCTGTTAGCACAGAAAAGCTAGCTTAGCTCAAGTCATCAGAAGTATGACAGTATAGGATGATGATCACATCTTTAGCACCACCAAGCCTTTGGAGGTGAAGGCTCGGGAGAAGCTACACTAAGAGGCTGGGAAGATCAGATAGAATCTAGTTGGGCTGATGAGAAGAGTGTATGAGTTTGGGAAAGAGTATAAGAAAGACCCTAGGCTAAGAACTACAATCGAGTATGCAGAATTATGAGGGGACCAGCTGAACTGGAAGAGCATATGCACTTGGGAGTCAGAGGAGAAAGTGAGAAGGCTTGGGAAGAGTTGTGTTGTGGAGAAACAGAATTGCTCTGAGGAATTGGACTGGTTCAGGTACAGAGCACTGTGGTGATGCAGTAGAGACACTGTCTTTAGAGGGTCGACTGAAGGTGGCTCAGAGAGAGGGAAGCCAGTTCGCAGAACCTGGGACAGCATTCCATGTGTGAATGGCCCCAGGAGAGGTTAGAACCTCTAGAACTGAGAGCAGGGATGTTCTTCCTTCTGAGCAAGAGTAGTTTAGAGTGAGGAGGTCTGAGGTTGACACAGGGAGGTGAAGGAAAAGAGCAAGTCACAGATGCTGGCTAGATTTTATATGGGCAAAGAGGGATGGCTTGGACTACCACTTGCAGGGCTGTGTGGTTCAGGATGACTAGATAGCCTTGTACTGAAGTATAATGGAAAGTGTGAAGAATGATTATTAAATAAGGAGACTTAGGCCCATAGGACATAGAATAAAACCAGTCAAATACAGTTACCATTCAAATACAGGTGAATTAGCACCACGAAAACCTTAACTAAAGCACCTAAAGGCCACGTTCTATGAAACTTGTCAGTTTTTGTTTCTGTGACATTTACATGCCCATAAAATCCCTTAAAAACCACAAACCACTTATTAGATTGTTACTCGATTGCTTCATTGCTTGAAAGCTTGCAATGTTTAACCAATGTTTTTACTTCTGAGGCAGTTTAGAAAAACAACAAAATCAAATTGTCCAGAAAATAACTCCTAAATCCTAAGATAAGACTTGCTCAGTGTCACTAATCATCAGGGAACTGCAAATCAAAACCAAACCACAATGACATATCACCTCACACCTGTCAGAATGGCTATCATCAAAAAGTCAACAAACAAACAAACAAGTAAAAAACAAAACAAAGAATTGAATCTATGAATAAAACATATGAAAAGTCAATAAACAAGTGCTAGTGAGGATGAGAAGAAAAGTGAATCCTCATGAATTGTTGGTGAGATTACAAATTGGTGCAACCACTATGGAAAAGAGTATGGAGGTTCTTAAGAAAATTAAAAATAGATCTAACGTATGATCCAACAATCCCACTTTGGGGTATTTACCCGAAGAAATCCAAAATGCTAATTCAAAAAGATACAGGCACCCCTATATTCATTGCAGCATTATTATTACAATAGCCAAGATATAGAAGCAACCCAAGTGTCCATTAATAGATGAATGGATAAAGAAAATGTATGGAAGACAGTATAGAGTTTCTCCAAAAAGTTAAAAATGGAACTCCCATTTGACCCAGTGATCCCACTTCTAGGAATATATCCCAAGAAACCAGAAACACCAATCAGAAAGGATATATGCATCCCTATGTTCATAGCAGCACAATTTACCATAGCTAAGATCTGGAAACAGCCTAAGTGCCCATCAGCAGATGAATGGATTAGGAAACTGTAATACATCTACACAATGGAATACTATACTGCTGTAAAAAAGAAGGAATTCTTACCATTTGCAACAGCATGGATGGAACTGGAGAGCATTATGCTAAGTGAAATATGTCTGACAAATGAGAAAGACAATATCATTTGATTCCAAAACAAATGAACAAACAAAACAGAAATAGAATTCATAGAAACAGATACTAAAGGGATGGGTGCCAGAAGGTTCGATGTGAGGGTCTGGGTGAAAAAGGGGAAGGGGAATGTAGTTCATAATATTGTGATAAGTTACATGGTGACAGATGACTACCAGAATTAGTGGGGTGATCACATTGTAAGGTATGAAAATGTTGAATCACTATATTGGACACGTGAAATTAATATAACCAGTATACCAACTATATTTAAATAAAAAATAATTTAAAAAAGACTTCTACTACATTCCATTTTAAATTACCAATGGGTGAGACCACACCTTACTCATTTTCTTCTGTCCCACCACCCCATTGCCTCTGACCAGGTGCTCGATCAGTGACTGTTTAATAATGACATTTCTCTCCTTCATACCATCCCAGTATTGCTGAGTTTTACTTATTTAATGACATACAAACTGCAGAGTCAAAGTCAGTCAAACCTCAGTTTAAAAATTAACCTGTCATTACTTTTATAAATTATTTTAAACCCAAATGACATTAACTAAAGCAAATCAAATCACCCAGGTTAACTACCTTTGGAATTTTATCCCTTTTTCCTTCTGTGCTGCTGTCATTCACCTTTTGATCATACCAATGACCTCTGCAAAGGACAAAAAGCATCTTGGACAATTCAATCTTAGCTGGACCGGCAGTACCTACGGAACCCAGAACCTTTTTTGTTTTGTTAATCCTCACCTGAGGATATTTTTTCCATTAATTTTTAGAGAGAGCAGAAGGGAGGGAGGGGGGGAGAGAGGGAGAGAGAGAAAGAGAAAGAGAGAGAGAGAGAAACATTGATGTGAGAGAGACACATCAATTGGTTGCCTCCTGAACATGCCCCTACTAGTGCCTGGGATTGAACCTACAACCTAAGTACGTGCTGTTGACTGAGATTCAAATGTGCGCCCCTTTGGTATGCAGGCTGGTGCTCTAACCAGGGCCCATTGGTAACCTTTGAGGAGCTGCAGAGTTTTCTGTTACCGCTGTCCAGGCAGGAGCAGCTCAGGGTGTCAGCTTACATGCCACTGCCCTCAGCTCGGTGCCCATCAGTGGGATCCTCTGTCTGGACAGGAAACAGGATAAAGGAAGAGGAAGCTTGTTCATGCCCTGAAAGATTGCTGTCTCCACCTTGCACAGAAGGGCCATCTGTCAGGGAGTTTTGACATCACACATGTTCTCTTGGTGGGCACCTTTCCAGTGGGCCTTCAGCACTGGTTGTGCTCTCTCAGCATCCAGGTAGTTGAAATGGGATTTAGAGGGGAAAAGTAACAGGTGAAGCAAGAGGGAAGATACAACCATTCTCCATCTCCTGACGTTCTTTCTATCTGATATTTTTTTGCTGCCTTTCCCTGTCTGTCTGTCTTCCCTGTAGAGGTGTAGAGGCCATTTGGGGCAATGTTTGCCAATGACTGTCTGAAGGTCGAGTTTGGTGCATTCTCTCTTGGTGCTTAGATTCTATGTCAGCAGCCCATCAAGACACCCCAGGTTTCCACCAATAGTTTTAGCTGCACTTTATAATTAAGTTTTCCCTTTTTCCTTCCTTATTTCAGTTGGGATGTGATGGTCCTGTGGAGCTTATGGGGCCTCATTAGTGCATCCAGTGCTCTTGGTGTTCCTCTGTGTGTTACAGATGCTCCATAGATGGAACTGCCTTGGAATGACACATGTCAGCCCACAGGATTTCGGCCCTGGATGGGAGCAGCTCCCAAAGGCACAGCTTAGCCTAGGTACCAGTCAGGCCGGAACTGGGCTGCTGCTGGGATTCAATCAGGCTGGCCTGCACAGGTGCCTAGGGTGCTCCCGCCCAGCACTCCCTACCATGCATGCACCTTCTCTGCTGCACCTCTGAACCCACTTGTCTACATGCAGGTGGTCATTGGAACGGTCCATTTCTGGGTTTGCTGTGTATGGAGAGTGCATGTGTCTGTGTGTCCTGCACATTACACAGTGCTGCCTGCTCCAGATTGCCAGCTCCCTGGTCACATGGGCTGCTTTTGCTTTTTATCTCTGTGGAGGACAAACATAAATTATCAAAATACTGAGAGATGAAATCCTCTGAACCAGCTGTGAACAAGGACCCCTTCGTTTTTGTATCATGTTGTAAGAAGAAGAGGAGTTTACCTGGACAGGAGTGCCCCCGCTGTGTGGGTATGGGTGGATCTTTTGGAGAAGGGACAGCCTGCCTTTCATCTGTGAGGTTAACTTCTTTAATTGGCTGCAGAGAGAATAAATGGACTCTGTGTCTGGGCTGTGCTATCATCTGATCACATGCCTCCGGCTCTGTTCCAGATTCGGGCAAGGCTTTTCACAAGGTGAATGGAGAAAGGCTCCCTGTGCTGCTCAGCTCAACCTGAGCTCTCAGACAGCCTTGGGCCACAATCTCCTCTTGTGCCTCCAACAGGACTCAGTGCAGGAACCAGTGTGCTTAACCTTTAAAGCAGCAGTCGCCAACCGATGGTCCGCAGTCCACTGGTGGTTCATGAGGCCCGAAAGGTTGGCGACCACTGCTTTAAAGAAATCATCTCTTTTTCTTCTTTGTTTTCCCCATTTCTTGAGGGCCTACTTCTCTATCTTCCTCATAGACCAACAGCGAAGGCCTGTCCTATGTCCCTGTCAGAAAGGGAAGAACATTTCAGGAAGTAGCTATTCTTTCCTTTTTAGTGGAATCACTTATATTGTTTTTCTTTCCTCTCCCTTCCTCTCCTCTCATGTGTACCATGTTAAATTTAAGGGGCACCTGCCATGATTGTCAGGATCCTTCTCTGAGCATGAAATAGGGATTAATTTCCTTATCATAGAAGGAGGCGCTCTGGCAAGAATGACCCCATCCAAGCCCTCAGGCACCTGAAGGTCCTTTTCCAGCAGCCTATCAACTTGAGCTTGGGGACACAGCAGAGGGCCAATCCCTATAGCTATGACTTTTATTGTGGGTGCTAGGGAATAGCTGCAGGACTCTGAACTGGAGGGGGAGTGATCAGGCTCCTGCTTTTAATTTTGTTGTTGTTTTGTTATTTTTGTTAATCCTCACCGGAGGATATTTTTTCCATTGGTTTGAGAGAGAGAGAGAGAGAGAGAGAGAGAGAGAGAGAGAGAGAGAGAGAGAAATATTGATGTGAGAGACACATCGATTGGTTGCCTCCCGCAGGTGCCCCTACGGGGGCCAGGGATTGAACCTACAGCCGCCCTTGACTGGGAATCGAACCCACAATCCTTCTATGCATGGGCTGATGCTCTAACCACTTAGCAAACTGGCCAGAGTCCTGCTTTTAATTTTTAAAAAATACTTCATTGTGATAAAATACACATAACATTTACCACCTTAATTATTTTAAGTGTTTAGTTCAGTGACATTAAGTACATTCACACTGTTGTGCAACCATCACTACCATCCATCTCAAGAACTCTTTTCATCTTGCAAAACTGAAACTCTGTCTCCATTAAACAACTTCCAATTTCCCTCCCAGAGTCCTGGGCAGGCACCATTCTCTTTTCTGTACTTTCTGTCTCTATGGATTTGACAGCTCCACCTTACAAAGGGTCACCTGGCAATGACAGTTGAGCCTGCAGGAGGAGGCCAGTGAAGAGAGGAGTGTCAGAACCCAAGTTGGAAGTGATGGCCTGAGCTAAGTGTATAGCAGAGGGAATAGATTTTTTGAGAGATGTGAATATAATTGAGAGGACTTTTGCCACTGATGGAAAATGGGTGAGGTAAGGGAGAGGCAGGGACCAAGGATGCTTCTTGTGGTACTAGTTGAGTGTTCTTGTCAAGACGGAGAGCTAGGAAGAGGAGCAGGTGTTGGGGTGGAGAGCCATGAGTTTAATTTATGGCAGGATGTGCTATGTCTGAGGGAAAGTATCCAGTGCACAATTTAAATGTGGATCTGGAGTGGGAGGTGCGCTCTGGTGAGGTCTCTGCATCTTGATGGCACTAATGCCCTAGGAGCTGACAAGCCCTCCTGGAGAGTCTGGACACAGGGAGTCTAAGGGTGCAGCCTGGAACACCATCACTCAGAGAGAGCACGGGCAGGAGCAGAGCCTGCGAGGGGGACAGAGACAGGGAACTAGCAACTTTTCGTGAAGATGCTTTTTAACTGTTTGTCTCCATCTGTGTTTGCTACATGAAGCTTAGAACACCGAAGAGACAATGAGCCCAGCATCCCTGCTATACAGTGAGATAAAGTTCATCTGATACAGACACTGTTCCAGTTCCTATAATTCTGATTTTTAAAAAGGCCAGAAGTGAAATGTTTTTTATGAGAATTCAATGATTGAGGCAGGAGATAGTGATTCAAGTGAGGCATTGATTTATAATTTATTTTGAAAACAGGTGCCATCATCTCTCACTTTTTAAGAGGGCTGAACAAGTGTGACCAGGGCAGGCTGGGAGCAGAAGCCATGAAAGTATAGCTGTATTTGCACTAGCCACCTCTTCTAGGCAGTGTCCTAGGAGAAATACATTTTCTTTTCCTTTTCTGTTAGAGTCATTTTAAAATGGATACTTCTTGTAGTTATTTGGTAACATGAGGTCCTACCAATTTTCACCTATGTATAAAGGAAAAACCACCTACAAGCAGCACCTGGGAAAGTTTACTGTAGCATGTGAGGTGTCGGGTTGTGTTAAGTGGTGCTGTCTGTGGACATCTCATAATTTTCTCTGGGAATCTTCAAGAATGGTTCCTTGAAGTCAACCAAGAAAATCAGAGCCAAATATTTTGGTGCTGGGCTGGACAAGCATTTCCATCAGGACCTGCTCCTGAGGACCGTCCCTCCTGTCCTAGACTTTGAACCCAGGTCAAGGCTGCGGGGGGGGGGGGGGTAGGATGGTTCTGGGGCTGTGCAATTTATAGGTGAGGTTCGACTGGGAAGGTTGGTGTCTGAGACTCAACATGGGCAAGTTAAGGAAACGCCAAGTTTTTGGAAGATGCTGTCAGTCATTTCTAATGGACACAGAATTGCAGGACCAACGGTGACTGTCCTGGGAAGAGGTGGCTGGGGTCGGTGTGAAGTCCGCACAGCTGGTAGCAGTAAAATCCCCTAGAGGTCAGGGGTTTGGGAATAGCTGTAATGTATAGGATGGTGGTATGAACCTCCAAATTTTAACTCTTAAGTTGGACATGATTCTTTAAACAAAACCATGTAATCCGGTGCTGGAGTTCCTTCTTTTTCTCTCTCCTTTGTGAATTAATACTCTGTTTTTTGAGTTTGCTGTCATTGGGAGCTGAATCCAAGGTTCCTTTCCAGAGAGGAATCTGCCCATCTGACCATCCGACAAAGGCGGCGAACAGGGTCTGCAGAATGATGCCCAAACTCTGGAGCTGCCTGTTGACTGTCTTCACTCCTGTCTCATAAGGTGAATCCCCCGTATTATGTCCCTCTGGTGGAGCTGGTCCCCCACCCGGAGACAGCCCCTGCGACAGTGGACAGGACCCACGCCCTGATGCAGAAGATCGGACAGTCCCCGGTCAGGGTCCTGAAGGAGGTCGATGGATTTGTCCTGAATCGCCTGCAGTATGCGGTCATCAGTGAGGCCTGGAGGCTGGTGCAGGTACGCAGGCTGCAGTGGCCAGTGGGGACAATAGTAGGGACAGTCTGAGGGAGGGTGGTAGAGGGGGTGAGCGAGGGGGGAATTGGGGATGGTTGCTAGCCAAGAGGGAAAGCAGAGGGGAAACAGCTTCCTGGGGGCAGTGGCTGCAGGGAGTCAGCGTTCAGGCCTCCTCGCTGTTTCTGGAGCCTGTCGGCTGTTTTCTCAGGTGCAGTGAAAAGGCAATGAGGATAAACCTTCATTGTTTCAAAGATGCTGTTACATGGAGTCATTTGATGTAGGACAGGATGATAGACTGTTTGCTGCTCCTACGTGTGATTGCCGCATAATTGTCTCCGGGTGACATGCTGCATTTCCCATAGACTCAGACCACTCGCCCCCAGTGTTATCATCTTTTGGGAGGAAAAAAATTGCATTTTGAGTACAGTCCACATGTGTCCTCTAAACAAACCCAATTTATTTCAAGAGCTTGAGAAGAAACAATTATAATCTTTACACTTGTTAGTAACAGGCTTGTCGTATGTAGAAAAACAACATTATTTTTTCACAATTAACCTTATCCTCTAATGAAAGGATTTTGCATGTCACCCAAGAAGTGGCCTCCCTGCACACACTCCTAACCACATTTGTATGGGGACATGGTGCCCCAGGACTCAAAGTGCAGGACGGGTTTGTGCTCAGGTGGGTGACAGCGCTGCCACCTGCACTGGGCCCACAGCTCCTGTGTGAGCCTTCTGCAGGCCTGTGGGTCCCAGCCTGGGACAGGGACAAAGACTCCACTCCCGCAGCTCCCAATGCAGGATGCAGCGGCCCTTCTGCCTCCCTGTTTGTTATTTGGGCACAGCTCTGGAAGTTCCTCATTGACCTCACCGCCCAGTGCATTTGCCACACAACAGCTGCAACTCCATGTTCTCACTGCTTAAATCCACTTAGTGGTCTTATATCTGCAAGACAGTGCTGTGGTTCCCACCATCAAGTTTGCAGTTTTAATTTCTTAGCAATTGCAGAATGTCTTTGAATTTCATTTTGTGGTAAGATATTTGAAAGAAACACTGAACTTAAAACAACCCTTTGGAGAGCTATTTAAAATATTTCCACTCGTCTAAAGTAGGGGAACAATATAATAGATACAAGAAAAACTCAACATTACAGTAAAACATGGGAAGAGCCACAGGGGATTCTGTTGTTCCCTTCACTGGTTGGAGAGGTGGGACGGTGGAGCAGACTATTTGTCTGCTTTGTCTGTTTTCTTTATTTTTTTATTTATTTTCTTTATTGATTAAGGTATTACATATGTGTCCCTAAACCCCCCCCATACGCACCCCCCCCCCCACTCATGCCCTCACCCCCCTGGTATCTGTGTCCATTGGTTAGGCTTATATGCATGCATATAAGTCCTTTGGTTGATCTCTCCCCTTTACCCCCTCCCTCCCCTACCTTCCCTCTGAGGTTTGACCGACTGATCAATGCTTCTCTGTCTCTGGATCTGTTTTTGTTCATCAGTTTATATTGTTTATTATATTCCACAAATGAATGAGATCATGTGATATTTATCTTTCTCTGACTGGCTCATTTCGCTTAGCATAATACTCTCCAGGTCCATCCATGCTGTTACAACTGGTAGGAATTCCTTCCTTTTTACAGCAGCGTAGAAGTCCATTGTGTAGATTTACCACAGTTTTTTTTTTTTAAATCTTTATTGTTCAGATTATTACAGATGTTCCTCTTTCCCCCCCCCCCCCGCCATAGCTCTCCTCCACCCGGTTCCCACCCCACCCCAGGCCCTCACCCTCCCACTATGGTCCAATCTCTTCCCTTACTCCCCACACCCACTTCCCCTGAGAATTGTCAGTCTGCTCCATTTCCATGCCCCTGATTCTATTACATTCACCAATTTGTTCTGTTCATCAGATTTTTTATTCATTTGATTTTTAGATTCACTTGATAGATATGTATTTGTTGTCACTTTGTTGTTCATAATTTTTTATCTTTACCTTTTTCTTCTTCTTCCTCTTCTTAAAGAATACCCTTCAGCATTTCATATACTACTGGTTTGGTGGTGATGAACTCCTTTAGCTTTTTCTTATCTGTGAAGCTCTTTATCTGACCTTTGATTCTAAATGATAGCTTTGCTGGGTAGAGTAATCTTGGTTATAGGTTTTTGCTATTTATCACTGAATCTTTCTTGCCACTCCATTCTGGCCTGCATAGTTTCTGTTGAGAAATCAGCTGACAGTCATATGGGCACTCCCATGTAGGTAACTAACTGTTTTTCTCTTGCTGCTTTTAAGAGTCTCTTTTTGTCTTTTGCCCTTGGCATTTTAATTATGATGTGTCTTGGTGTGGTCCTCTTTGGATTCCTCTTGTTTGGGGTTCTCTGCACTTCCTGGACTTGTAAGTCTATTTCTTTCACCAAGTAGGGGAAGTTGTCTGTCATTATTTCTTTAAATAGGTTTTCAATATCTTGCTTTTTCTCTTCTTCTGGCACCCCCATAATTCGGATGTTGGTTCGCTTGAAGTTGTCCCAGAGGCTCCTTACACTATCTTCATATTTTTGGATTCTTTTTTCTTTTTGCTCTTCCGGTTGGGTGTTTTTTTACTTCCTTGTACTTCAAATCTTTGACTTGATTCTTGGGATCCTCTAGCCTACTGTTGAATCTCTGTATATTATTCTTTATTTCAGTCAGTGTATGCTTAATTTCTGACTGGTCCTTTTCCATTTTTTTTTTTTTTTTGGCATTCTCACTAAGATCCTTGAAGGTCTCACTAAGTTCCTCGGAGGTTTCTAGAAGATTCTTGAGTAACCTTATAACTGCGGTGTTGAACTCTATATCTAGTGTTTTGCTTTCATCCATTTATTTCATTTGTGACATGTTTCTTGAGTTGATAGAGTGGCCTTTGTGGTAGGTGTCCTATAGGGCCCAGTGGCTCAGCCTCCCTGATCACCTCCAGTGGAGACTCTTGGTGCATCCCTTTGTGGGCCGTGTGCACAGTCTTGTTGTAGTTAAGAATTGATTGTTGTAGGTATCACTGGGAGGAATTGACCTCCAGGCCAATTGGCTGTGAGGACCAGCTGTGTCTACAATGGAAGAACTGCTGTGCAGGAGACACCCTTATGGGGCAGGACTTGCTTCAATGGGGCTTTGGTGCTCACTGTGTCTGCCCCTTGAGTGTGTCTCTTATGAATGTGAAGAGTTGTAATCTGGTATGGTCTCACACTGACCACTGGGTACAATGGCTCTTGGATCTCCAAGGAGGTGCAAAGTCAGCCACTGCCTGGGGCCACCCAGCAGGAGCTACAGAGAGATCTGCTGATTTCTCCTCTTTGTACCAGGTTTGGAAGTGCCCAGAGGAGGCCCAGCTGTGTAGCAAGGCAGGCTTCTGCTGCTGCTGCCTGTTTGACAGGTTTTAGGCTGAGAAAGGACAGGCCATTCATATGCAAAAGCCACTGTGCACAGCTTGGGTCCGGTTATTAATTCGGTGGGGTGGGGTCTCAGGGAATCTCCTGTGTGGAGCAAACAGCATTGGCTGCCAGTCAGCCCTGCACCGGAGAGGTCCCAGCGCAGGAAAAATGACAGCTGCGAGCACCTCCGTCTGAAAGAAAGCCGCCCTCCCATTCCTGTCCTAAATGCCAGAGAGTCCAGTTTCTTCCCGTATGTGTCTGGGTCCCCCAGAGTCTCGTCTGGAACTGGAGTTCAGAGCAAGCGGGCGCTTGTATCTCCCTCCCAATTAAAAAAGCAGTGCACCCGGGTGCCAGCCTGTTCCGCGCCTCCGCACCTTCTACCAGTCTAAATGTGCTTTCTTCTTTACCTCTAGTTGTAGAACTTCCACTCAGCTTTCTTGCGGTTCTGGATGACAGTTGTTTTGTCTTTTAGTTGTAATTTTGATGTGGTTGTGAGAGGCAGCAAATACAGGTGTTTATCTTGAAATCTCCTCGTATCACAGTTTTTTAATCCACTCATCTGCTGATGGGCATTTAGGCTGTTTCCAAGTCTTGGGTATTGTAAATTGTGCTGCTATGAACTTAGGGGTGCATATATCCTTTCTGATTGGTGTTTCTAGTTTCTTGGGATATAGTCCTAGAAGTGGGACCACTGGGTCAAATAGTTCCATTTTAGTTTTTTGAGGAAACTCCATACTGTTCTTCACAGTGGCTGCACCAGTCTGCATTCCCACCGGCAGTGCACAAGGGTTCCTTTTTCTCTGCATCCTCGCCAGCACTTGTCATTTGTTGATTTGTTCTTATTGCCTCATTTTACCCACCTTTCTTTCAACTGTCCTGTCTCCAGGGGCTAATGGCAGACAGAGTGTGGTCTGCTGTTTTTTGGGGATGATATACCTTCTGAGAAAGGGAATCCTGCATGTTTCTCTACAATGGCTGCTGTGAAATTCACATGCCTCGAGTCCCCATAGGAACCGAGTGCTGAGATCCAGCAGGATACAGTGTGAATGTGACAAAATGAGAAGCTATAGAAATGAGATTAAGAAAGTGTAAATAGAACTCAAAGAATTGCCTTTGGTGGAAGTCTCAGAGGTAATTCACTTAAAAAAATTAAATTGAGCCCTAGCTGGGTAGCTCAGTTGGTGGGAATGTCCTCCCATACACCAAAAGGTTGTGGGTTTGATTCCTGATTTGGGGTGCATACAGGAGGCAACCTGATGTTTTACTCTCTCCCTCTCCCTCCCTCCCTCCCTCCCTCCCTTCCTTCCTCTCTCTCTAAAATCAAGCAAAAATCCTCGGGTGAGGATTAAAATAAATTTTTTAAAAATAAAGTTGATTGCCCGGCCAGTGTGGCTCAGTGGTTGAGTGTTGACCTATGAACCAGGAGGTCACGGTTCAATTCCATGTCAGGGCACATGCCCGAGCTGTGGGCTTGATTCCCAGTGGGCTGGCTCTCTCTCTCTCTCTCTCTCTCTCTCTCTCTCTCTCTCCCTTCCTCTCTGAAATCAAATTTAAAAATAATAAAGTTGATCTATAGACAGTGAGAATGAAGGCAGGTGTA